ATATTTTTCCATTTGTTTATGTCATGTTTGATTTTTTTTCCCAGTGTTTTGTAGTTCTTCTTGGTAGAAATCTTTCACCTCTTTGGTTAGATGTATTACTAGGTATTTTATTTTTTTTTGTTGACTGTTGTAAATAGGATTGCATTATTGATTTGTCTCTCAACTCTAATGTTATTTGGTGTACAGAAATGCTACTGATTTCTGTACATTGATTTTATATCCTGAAACTTTACTGAAGTTGTTTACTGTCAGTTGCAGGAGCCTCTTGGTGGAATCTTTAGGATCTTCTAGGTAATCATATTACATATTGTAAGTTAAGAGGGATAGTTTGACTTATTATTTTTCTATTTTGAAGCCTTCTCTTTTTTTCTATTGCCTGATTCCTCTGGCAAGGACTTTGAGTACTATGTGGAATAGGAGTGGTGAGAGTGGGCATCCTTGTCTTGTTCCAGTTGTCAAGGGGAATGTTCCAGCTTTTGCCGGTTCAGTATGATGTTGGCTGTGGGTTTGTCATAGATGGCTGTTACTATTTTGAAGTATGTTCCTTCAGTGCCTAGTTTGTGCAGGGATTTTTATCATGAAGGAATGCTGGATTTTTTTGAAGGCTTTTTCCACTTCTGTTTATATGATCATATAGTTTTTGTTCTTAATTCTGTTTTTATGTTGAATTGTATTTATTGATTTGCATATGTTGCACCAACCTTGCATCCCAGGAATAAAGCCTTCTTGGTTGTTTTGAATTATTTTTTTAATGTACTGTGGAATTCAGCTTGCAAGTATTCTGTTGAGAATTTTTGCATCTCTGTGCATCTGGAATATTGGCCTATAGTTTTCTTTTTTCACTGTATCTTTGCCATGTTTTGGTATCTGAATTATGCTGGTTTCGTCGAATGAGTTAGAGAGAAGTTCCTTCTCCTCAGTTTTTTGGGAATAATTACAGTAGAATTGGTACCAACTCTTCTTTTGTAGGTATAGTAGAATTTGGCTGCGAATCTATCTGCTCTGGGGCTTTGTTTGGTTGACAGATTTTTTATTACTGATTCAGTTTCAGAACTTGATATTGTTCTGTTCAAGATTTCAGTTTCTTGCTGATTCAATGTTGGGAGGTTATGCATTTCTAGAAATTTATCAGTTTCCTCTAGATTTTCTAGTTTGTGAGCTTCAAGGTGTTTGTAATAGTCTCTGAGGATCTTTTGTATTTCTGTGGGATCAGTTGTAATACCACCTTTGTTGTTTCTCATTGTACTTCTTTGGCTTTTCTCTCCTTTAGCCTTTGTTCTTGTAGCTAGCGGTCTAGTGATCTTGTTGATCCTTTCAAAGAACTAACTTTTGGGTTTGTTTATTGTTTTATGGATTTTTTTATATCAATTTCATTCAGTTCCACTCAGATTTTAGTTATTTCTCCTGCTAGCTTTGGGGTTAGTTGATATTTGTTCTTCTAGTTCCCCTAGGTGTGATATTCGATTGCTAACTAGTGATCTTTCTAAATTTCTGAGGTATGCATTTAGCACTGATAACTAATTTTTAAGAGCCCTATTAGAATTCTATTCCCAGAAGTGAGTTTTTAAAACTCTTAAGGAAAAAGAAGCATCTCTATTTTAATCCCTACCAAACCTGGAGAGCAATCTTGGAGTTTAAAAATCCTTGAGATATTTTATACATTCAATTATATTGCATATTAATGTAGAAAAACTGACTATTTACCCTGTTACATATGAATATAGAGTATATGACTATTTACCCATATATATAAAATACCATGTCTTGAATGCATTAAAAATGTAGGAAATCTAAAAAAGGGATTTACAAAGCACCAGTGTCCCCAAGACATTCCTAAGAATGCCAATTGCTCTGTGTGTGTGTGTGTGTGTGTGTGTGTGTGTGTGTGTGTAGTGAGAGAGAGAGAAAGAGACAATCCTCAGTTCTCGGATACAACCTGTTCATAGGCATTCATGGACATGCATTTAGGAACTACTATTCAAGGACATATATATAAGTGAAACAGAAAAAAATCAATCATTTCATTTTAGATATATGTTGATATTTAGAAAAAACAAATGTGATACTTCTAAAATAAATTTATTTATAGTTAAACATACAGCTATGAGACAGGATTTTTAAATATATTATTAATCTAACATGGACTATCTTTATACAGAATAGAATCTTTATTTTTTTTTTCACTTGGATGAATGAAAATGGAAAGTGAAAATTAAGTGAAAGCAATCTCAATAACAATTGGCTCCTCTGTCTTTCTTTCTGAGTCCTTTTCTTTTCTGCTTTTCTCACTTGTCCTCCAAATGAAGGTTATAGAGTGCTAGAAACAGGCGGTGTAGATAGATTAATTGGGGATAAAAACATCTACTGATTTTTTGTTCCAACTCCAATAAAATATCATTAATATGAAAGCCTAGTGTTTTTCACTATGGTTATTATGTTCCTGGGTCTCTTTATCCTGTCTTACCAAAAATTATTGCTACATTTCAAATTCGTAGTGGTCCATCACAACAATAATAAAATAACTGATAAAAATAATGAAATTACAGGTTTCAGCTCCCTAGACTGTTTTAGGAAGATACCTTTGCTAATCCAAGCAAAGATTAGGATGATTCACCACTGGTCATAACCACTTTCTATGATCATACTGGTTGGGTAAGTAAATGAGAGACTATGTAGATTTCAGCACCAGCTAAGTGAATGTTGTGTTTTGCATGTTACTCATAATTTCTCGCATCTATGGAGAAATGAATTTTTTTCCTATAGTGTTTAGCAGTAATATTTTCTCTTTATTTATCATTAACATGCTTTTACAATTAATAAGCTGGTGTAGACCTCCTGTGAGTATTTGGGAGCTATAGTGTAACAGAGGGCTGTTATTTCATTGACTATATTGTCATTAAAACAAAACAATGTCAATAAGAAAGGAAACTGTTCTAATAGGCAAAATACAGAAAGAAGATAGTCTTAAACAAATATGGTCATTGTCCATCAATGCTCTATGTATAAGAAAGGAAAGATGCCACCATTAAAAGCTAAGTAAATCAAGCACCTCTTCTTAGAATTGATTACCTCTGCTTTTAAACAGATAAATTAGGCTATCTAATAATGCCAGTGAGTATTACAATCATACAATATACTTCCTCATTTTAATTTTCATACTTACCAAGCAACTCTTTATTGGCTTACCATTTGGTTTACCATTGTATGCAGGGAAAGAATGCATTGCTGTAGACAGTTCTCTTAGCATTCATTTGTGTATCTCTTTTTTTTTTTTCTTTTCTTTTTTTTTTCTGATGGAGTCTCGCTCTGTTGCCTAGGCTAGAGTGCAGTGGTGCCATCTCGGCTCACTGCAAGCTCCACCTCCCGGGTTCAAGCCATTCTGCCTCAGCCTCCCGAGTAGCTGGGACTACAGGCGCCTGTCACCACGCCCAGCTAATTTTTTTTGTATTTTTAGTAGAGACAGGGTTTCACCGTGTTAGCCAGGATGGTCTCGATCTCCTGTCCTCGTGATCCACCCGCGTCGGCCTCCCAAAGAGCTGAGATTACAGGCGTGAGCCACCGCGCCCAGCCTTTATATCTCATTTTATATATTCATTTTCAGTCTGATGAGCAGTTATTTGAATCAGAGTACTACAGCAAATCTCAGCAAGCTGACACATCAAACTCTGAACTGAGAAGTTTAAGTTTTTCATATCAATGATTCTTATCTTGACCAAAATCTCTGAGGTTTTGATTCAACTGAGGTTAAAACAGTGAAAATTTTTATAGCAAGCACCCCAGGTATTTGTGCTACAGGTTGTCTGAAGCCACCTTTAGAGAAACTCTTCTAGTTACAACCTTAAAATAAAGCTTTTTGGGGGGATATTCAGCCAGCCTTCCTTAGATGAAACTATAGTTGCTTCCATCTCCAATCTTATAAAACACCCACTCAATAATGTTGATGAACTGAGTTTCTGATTGATATTTCTAGTGTTACAGTGTGTCTTAGGAAAATATATTTATGACTACAATAGAAAAGGGAATAGTTGATTTTTCTATTTGTCATAATCAAAAGCATTGAATTTCTTTTCTACCTCCAACATGTTTCAGAAGACTGTGAAGAATGAATAATTAATATGGATGATCTATATGAATATAAAAGTGTCAAATGCCCCATCTTTTGACTAAATAATAGTAATTTTAGTAACACATTTATTTTATATAAATATTTCTATTTTAATGATGTATATGCCTGCTATTTTATAAGTTTTATAATTTAATGTATGTGTGTGTCTGTGTGTGTGCATGTGTAAATATATACTGCCACTATATCTATCTGGTTGCAGTATTTGCCTTCTACTGATGAACAGATTTGATTTCATGATATGGAGTCTGGATATGTATACCATTCATTCACTGCTTCATGAAAAATGCTACAGAAGTTCGAAAGATGAGCTTCCTAGACAGAAAAGGTTCAAGAGTGTATGAGTAATCATGAAATTATATAAAATAAAATTTAATAAGATTACTAAGGATGAAATTATAGTGTGTTTCACACGAAATTGTATCCAGGCTGTGTTCTAAATTATAATGCTAGTAAATAGCAGTGAGATAAAATGAGAATCCTCTGGTTTAAAAGAGTTCTGGTAATTCTGTAAAACTGTGCTGGTGTCTTATTCTTTCTGGGTCTCATTGTTCTCCTCTGTAAATATGCAAAGTTTAAAGTGTATGATTTCTCAAGAGCTATTGTAGCTCAGATAGGCCATAAATCTTTGATCATTTTGTACTATGCTTGTGTTTTGCTAAGCACTATTGAAATGCATATCTTAGTTTCATCCTGAATCAGGTCTATCTGTATCCATTATGCCTTTGTTTTAGGTTGGAGTATACATAATTATAAAATCAAAGATTGACAGATGATTGTTCTACTTTTAAAGTCATATGTTATTAACACAAATGAGTATTTTAGAAAATGAAAAAAGAATCCCATCAACTATGTTTATTTCCATCTGTGTTTACAGGAAGTTCAACACAATTGCCAGCTTCATAGAATATCTTTTTGTGCAGATGATAAAACTGACAAGAGGATATTCACTTTCATATGCAAAGATTCTGAGTCAAATAAACATTTGTGCTATGTATTTGACAGCGAAAAGTGTGTAAGTATCCCAGATGTTTTAGGGTGGTTTGTTCTGTTTTACAAGCCAGGAATTGTCTAGTTTCTGGCATTAGTAAAGTATTTGAAAATGAATAATATCTGTAAATACTTAGCTGTACTAATAGATTTATTTTGTCATGAGAATATGCTTCAGGATGTCATCCATGACTAAATTCTCATGTTCATGAGCATAAACTCACATGCAAATTTATTTTATTAGAATGTCATGCCTGCTTATGTTATGCATTTATTTATTTTATAATAATTTAATCTATTTTAGTTTTAAACTCAAATAGGATTTAGTAATATGCACATAATATAAGAGTAATGGTGAGCAAAAGTGTGTTTCCCCTACATGTGCAGAATCTGATGGATTTTATAAAAATAAATATTCTTAACTCCAGGAAGTATAATCTGTATGGTTCCTTAAAAGATTTTCCAATACATTGAAAATGTAGTTCCTTATGTTCATTATATAAAACTCTTAGGCCAGGCACGGTGGCTCACACCTGTAATCCCGGCACTTCGGGAGGCCGAGGTGGTCAGATCATGAGGTCAAGAGATCGAGACCATCCTGACCAAAATGGTGACACTCCATCTCTACTAAAAATACAAAAATTAGCTGGGTGTTGTGGCGCGTGCCAGTGGTCCCACCTACTGGGGAGGCTGAGGCAGAAGAATCACTTGAATCTGGGAGGTGGAGGTTGCAGTGAGCCGAGATCGCACCACTGAACTCCAGCCTGGCGGCAGAGTGAGACTCCGTCTCAAGAAAAGAAAAAACAAAACAAAACAAAAAACTTAATATAATGAAAGTTAATGGAATTATATGTATGAAATTCTATGTTAAATCCTGTAGCTGTTCTTTAATCATCTGAAATCTTAAGGAAAACCCATTGATGGCTGCAGTGAAGGAAAAACATGTAACCTCAACAATTTTATTGGTTTAGGTAGGAAATAAAACAATTCATCTATTTGCTAATTTATCTTGCTGTCAAAAATAGATAGCAAATATTATTATCGCTATTATGTCATTTGTTTATCTAGCTTCAGTATTGAGCTTCTTGAGAACAAATACCTTTTTATTTTTTCATGTGACTTCTACATCAAGTGGACAATAGGTGCTCAATGAAGCATTCCTTAAGAAAAAGATCGCGTTGAAAACTTACAAAACATAGAACAAGTTATCATTTTTATTTTTTAAACTGTAGTTCTCTAGAAAGGAAAGCTAATGTGCTAAGCTACTAGACATCATAATACCTTTTGTGAATTTGGTGCACATTATGGAACATTTCATCAGAAAAAGATGCTTAGCAATCTAAGACAATATTTTGCGCACAATAAGACATTTTATATAGCTCAAATTGATGTTGAATTTTATTTTATATGAACTTCTGTTGAATGAATAAATAAAATTTACATATAATTTACATATTTCAAGTGCTTTTTAACCATGATTGCTTACAGATTCTTTTCTCTATGACTGAGAAGATTGAAGTTGATATTTGTTGAATATCTTCTATACATAATTTATAACCTTTTACCACCGACATAAAGCAGAAAACTCAGTTATTCTTCTTTCTGCCTTACCCATAGAAATAAATTTTGAAATGTTTCAGAGTCAGAGTTCGTTATAAATATTAGCCTTCTTATAGATTTGTGCCACTTGTTTTATATTCTTTGATCCCTATCCAAATTTGTTAAATTAATATTTAAAATATAAGCTTGCCAGCTTAAAAGCATAGACCCCATTTCTTCTTCATCCTAACTGTCTGTAATTGATTGTTCTCTTTGGATGTAGCATATCTACTCTATTTTCTCTTAAAGACTGAAAATAATTTCCTAAAGCCTAAGCAGTGGTTCACAATCATTAATGTGCATAAAAATCATACGGGATGCTTTTTAAAAACTCTTATCAATTGGGGCTGAAGCTCAGGAAATCTATATTTATCAAGTATACCAAGTTGTTCTGCTGCAGGTAGAGGAAGTCTTGGCTTTGAAAAGTTCCCAGAAAATCTCCCAACTATAAGTTGGCATCACCTTCATGAGCTGAAAAATGACATGTTTTCTTAAAAATTTGTTATACCTGCACTATCTTAACTATGAGGTTTTATCAGTGCTAATTATAATGATGACTATATTTATAACACTGATGTTATATGTATGTAGAATTTTTGATATGCCATCTTATGTAATTCTTATTTTAAATAGTTTATCATAGAGTGCTAAAATGGGAAATAAGTTATGGCCTATCTCGTACAAATCTCCTTCTATTTTAAAAAACCAAGATCAGAGATGTTGAAGTAAGTTTTCCAAAGTTACAAAACTAAGTAGTCAGTAGAATCAGGACTAAAATCTAAGACTCTTAATTCCCATTGCTACATTTATCTCAACATGCTATATTACTCCCATAACTGTGGCCTCCTCTAGAGTTCATCTGCTCTTATTGGGGCCTTTACTCTATCTGTTCATTGTATTTTATCTTTTTAGTACTTCTTTGAAATTGAGAATTTGAAAGATGAAACCTTTTTTAGTATGTCACAAGACTGGAATTCACTACTTTATTAACAGTATCATGTTGTATTAATAGTCCTCCTTCTTCCATAGTGATGGTGAGGACCATATGAGGAGTGAGAACATTCAGCCCTGCCAAAATAGAATGCTGAGCCTCTATACTTACTAGGCAATAAGGGAGCAATGCATTTCCACCCTCACTCTCATACTGGAATTGCATCAGATGAAGCCACCTAAAGCAGAAAATTTAAATCATTTCCAGTATTTCATAAAATGAAAATCACTCTTTGTACCAAGAAACAGGTTTCTTAAACTAAAAAAGAAATGACAGTCAGTAGTTACCAACACATAGATGTCAGAGATATTAGAATTATAGGACAAAGGTTTTGGAACAGCCATCATATAACATAATAAAATGAGCAGTCACAAACACACATGAAACAGATGAGAATGCAGAAAGTCTTATCAATGAAATAGAAAATCTAAGCAAAGAAACAGAAGATATAAAGAATACTGAAAAATAACCACATGAAAGACTCAATGTATAGGCTCAACAGCAGAATAGAGAGAACAGAGGAAAAGAATCAATGACCTAGAAGATTGACAAATAGAAAATGCCCAATCTGAACAACACAAAAATTATAGCCTCAATAAACCAGCAAAAACAAAGCCAAAACAGAACCTCATGGACTGTGGGACCATAACAAAATATCTAACATCTGTGTGTCATCTGAGTCCTGGAAAAAGAGAAATAAGCACCCTTAAAAAACACTCCAAGAATATTAGTTGAAAACATTCCCGATTTGACAAAGAACATCAACCTATAGATTTAAAATACTGGGTGATCTCCAAACGGGATTAATCCAAATAACTCCACACCAAGACACATCATATTCAAGCTTCTGAAAACTGAAGACAAAAGAAAAGTCTTGAAAGCAACAAGAGATAAGCAAGTACTTACCTATAGCAGAGAATGTGAATGGCGGTGTATTTCTCACCAGAAACCATGAAGGCAAGAAGGAAGTTACATAATACTTTTGAGTAATGGAAAAAACAAAAATCTGTCAAATGATCCTACGTCCAGAAAAATATTCTTCAGAAATTGGAAATAAATTTTTAAAAATTATTAGATGTATGAAAATTAAGATTGTTTGCCACTACTAGACATCTTAAATGAATGGCTAAAGGAAGTTCTCTAAATGGAAAGGAAACAATACAAAACAGGAACTTGGAGCATAAGGAAGGAAAAGAAAAAACAAGATGAGCAAACGTATGAGTAAATCTTTAGTTTTCTAAATTATGTTTGATGATAGAAGAAAAAAATACTTTCTGATGTGATTTTAAAATCTGACATGATTTCATATATGGACATATGAAATATGTAAGGCAATTATATTAAACTAGGAAGGTTGAGAGGATGTAAAAAGGGAGGTGAGGTGTCTACGCCTCGCATAAACTGGAAAAATAATAGCACTAGGTAACTATGATAAGTTATATAGATAAAATGTGAGTCTGACAACAACCCCTAACTTGTTATATAATGAGATACACTTAAAAGCACTATAGAGAAACTAAAATGTTATCATTTTAAAACCCCATAGAAATGCAATGAAAAGAAAACAGAGAAAGAAAAAAGTAACAGAAAAGAAAAAGATTAAATAATGTACTTAAGCCCTAACATATCAAAAATCACATTAAATGTAAATAGTCTATGCCAGTTAAAATATGTTGTTAGGGTGGATTACAAAACGTAATCCAGATACATATTGTCTATAAGAAGTTCACTGCAAACATAATGGTATAGGTGATATAGGCAGGCTAAAAATGGAAGAATGAAAAGAGAGTTTTCATGCAAACATTATTCAAAGAAAGCAATAGTAACTATATTTACATCAGATAAAGTAGACCTCAATGCAAAGAAAATTACCAGAGACAGAGGGGGACATATAGTGATAAAAGGGACCAGTTCCCAAGAAGATATGGTAATTCTAACTGTATATTACCAAAAAATAGAGCTGCAAAATGAGAAACAAAAACAGATAGAACTAAAAGGGTAAATAGACAAATATACAAGTATAGTCAGAAATTTTACTGGTACTTTCCCTCAAATTTATAGAATAATTAGAAAATCATCAAGGATATAGAATAACTCAACATCATCAACCAGTGGGATCTAATGAGCAATTACAGAGAACCTCAGCTAACAACAACATTATGTATGTTATTTTCAAGTGTTTGAGGATGATGTACCAAATTAAGTCACATCCTGGACCATAAAGTAAATCTTGAAAAGTTAAAAGAATTAAAATTATTTAACATTTCTCTGACTATAAGGAAATCAGTCTAAAAATCAGTAACAGAAAGCCAGAAAATCTTTACAAGCTAGGTAATGAAACATCATATTTATAAATATTCCATACATCAAATAGCAATTCATACATGAATTTTTAATTCCGTGAATTGAATAAAAATGAAATAGAGCATATCAAC